CTTCCATCTGCTGGTTCACTCCCCAGACAGCACAACAGCAGGAGCTGCACTGACCCGAAGCCAGGAGCCTCTTCTGGGTCTCCCAAGCAGGTGCAGGAGCCCAAGGACTTGGGCCATCTTCCATTGCTTCCAGCACTGGCCCCTCTTGCCTTTCTTAACTACGGTTACATTCCCACTGCCCTAAGCCTCTGCTTTGCTCATACAAAAGTGTTTATTTAGGGGCTGGCACTGTGGCATATGAGCTTAAGCCTTTGCCTGTAGCACTGGCATGCCATATGGGCAACTGGTTGGCATCCCAGCTGCTCCACTTTCGATCCAGCTCTCTGCTATGGCCTGGGAAAGCAGTAGAAGATGGCCTGCACCCGCATGGGAGACCTGGAAGAAACTCCTGGCTCCTGGCTTTAGATTGGCCTAGTTCCAGCTGTTGCAGCCATTTGGGGAGTAAACCAGAGGATGGAAGACATCTCTCTGTTAACTCTGCCTTTCAAACAAATAAATATATCTTAAAAAAATGTTTATCCTGTTACAGATTATTTAGTAGAAGTTGTCAAGAACTGTAAAGAGTCAAAGATTTTTTTTTTTTTTTGACAGGCAGAGTGGACAGTGAGAGAAAGAGAGAGACAGAGAGAAAGGTCTTCCTTTGCCGTTGGTTCACCCTCCAATGGCCGCCACGGCCAGCACGCTGAGGCCGGCACACCGCGCTGATCCGAAGTCAGGAACCAGGTGCTTCTCCTGGTCTCCCATGGGGTGCAGGGCCCAAGCACTTGGGCCATCCTCCACTGCACTCCCGGGCCATAGCAGAGAGCTGGCCTGGAAGAGGGGCAACCGGGACAGAATCCGGCGCCCCAACCGGGACTAGAACCCAGAGTGCCAGCGCCGCTAGGCAGAGGATTAGCCTGTTAAGCTGCGGTGCCGGCCAAGAGTCAAAGATTTTACCCTTCTTGCAAGTTGTAGGTCTACCACAATTTCATAGATTCTGGCAGAACATGCCAGAGTCCAGTCAGAGACAGAACTTTATTACTCAAAGCAACAGCAGTAGCCAGAATATTGGCACTTTTTTGCGATGATTATCGTAGCCTAAATAAGCTCAAGACAATGAAAAAAGAGGGCCACGCAATACCTACACATGGAGTGGGCCATGTTACAGGAGAGGAACTCTAACCTTTTATAATGGACAATAAGCATGATTTGACTCCTAAGAGAGGAATTATGTATATTTTCCATGACTTTTCATTATACAAATAATTCTGACAACCTGGAGAATAAAAAAAAGTAAGCTTCATAGGAAATCCAGGATCTCAGTTCAAAAGGAACTATTGCCCAATTCATCAATATCAACATTATAATCAGAGTTGGATTAAGATTTGTGGATTCGCTCAAAGAAAACAAATTAATTTAGCACCTCTTCTAAAGGTTCTATTTTAAATATTTGTACATTGTTAGAGATTCAGAATCCCCCATCTTGGTGCGGGAGGGTAGGGAGGAGGCTGAGTAGAGTTGGCTGTTATCAGTGAAAAGACACCAGCTTGTTCATCTTATTTCTATCACAATCTGCTAACCCTCATGTGCTGTCAGGTACCTGCGCTGCTCAAGCAGGTCTTTGCTGGTGTCTCTCATCTCTCTTCCCCAGTGCCTTATCTTTCGCTTGAAAAGACTTGCAACGTGGGGAGGCATTTGGCATGGTGGTTAAGACACTGCTTGGGATGTTGTGTCCCCTGTCAGAGAGCCTGGGTTTTAGTCTCAGCTCAGCTTCTTTTTTTTTTTTTTTTTTTTTGACAGGCAGAGTGGACAGTGAGAGAGAGAGACAGAGAGAAAGGTCTTCCTTTTGCCGTTGGTTCACCCTCCAATGGCCGCCGCGGCCGGCGCGCTGCGGCCGGCGCACCGCGCTGATCCGATGGCAGGAGCCAGGAGCCAGGTGCTTTTCCTGGTCTCCCATGGGGTGCAGGGCCCAAGCACCTGGGCCATCCTCCACTGCACTCCCTGGCCACAGCAGAGGGCTGGCCTGGAAGAGGGGCAACCGGGACAGAATCCGGCGCCCCGACCGGGACTAGAACCCGGTGTGCCGGCGCCGCTAGGCGGAGGATTAGCCTAGTGAGCCGCGGCGCCGGCCTCAGCTCAGCTTCTAATTCTTTTCCTACTGCATACCCTGGGAGGCAGCAGGAGATACCGCTAGTGGTAATGTCCCTACCACCCATGTTGGAGACTTGGATTGAGTTCCTGGCTCCTGACTTCAGTCTGACCCACCCCTGGCCATTGCAGGCATTTGGGGAATGCACCAGTGGATGCAAGATTTCTATCTCTCTCTACCTCACAAGTAAATTAACAAACAAACTTTAAAATTTAAATATTTATATATATTTATTTACTCGAAAAGGCAGAATGAGAGAAACTGAGGGAGAGACAGAGATTGAGATCTTTCACGTATTGGTTAAGTTTTCAAATGCCTACAACAGCTGGAGCAGGGCCAGGCTAAAGCCAGGAGCCTGGAACTCCATCTGGGTCTCCCACATGAGTGGCAGGAACTCAAGTACTTGGGTCATCATCGGCTGCCTTCCCAGGTAGATTAGCAGGAAGCTGGATAGGGAGTTAAACAGCCAGAGCTCGAATTGGCACTCCAATACAGGATGAGAGTCGGATGCAGTAGCTTAACTCACTGTGCCACAATGCCCACCTCAGTTAAAAAAAAATTTTTTTAAACTACATGACTTACAGTCTATAAGGGGAAAAAAGGTTACAATAGAACAAACAGAGTTCCAATAAAATTTTTTTTTTCCATTTGATAGCTCTACAATTGTTCAGTATGTAGAAGAGTTTTTAGCATCTTTTATGGTCTACTACCATGGACAACTGCCAGACAGCTCATGCCTTAATCAGGCCTTAATTACTGCTATCATCATGAACAGTAGCTCTATACTGAGTATTTATTGTGTCTCTGGCACCAAGTTAATTGATGACCTAAGAGAGATAGGGAGGTTAGGAAAGGAATCAATATTTTTGTGCTAGACTCTTCACTGATTTTTAAAGTACATTATTTTATTTAGTCATCACAGTACCGTTCAGAGTGGTTCAATAACTTGCATTGTGGTAAAAGAAAAAACTGGATTTAAAATTCTAGGAAAATGTGACACCAAAATCCCTAGTGTGCTCAGAAAACTTGTCTTGGAATTCAAGAAAACTATAATGCAGTCAGAGAGAAAAACTCGATGCACTGAATAGCTTTAACATACGCTGAGCATTAACCGTGATTATAGAGAGGACCACAGGAAATCACAGAGTCAAAGTTATCGTCATACTCCATGCCAGTATAGTAGTTTAATTCTATCACCCCTGTCTGTATACTAAAATAGATCAAGAACAGTTTCTGAGGAAGATTTTTTTTTTAACCAAAACCTATGAAAAGGGTAACAATCGTATAGGTACTTTACTTGATTAGGCATCTTCATTTTCCCAAGAGAAATCTAACTCAGGACTCTGAACATCACTCTTTCTCAACATAAGCCCTCAGGACTGGCGCTGTGGTGCAGTGGGTAAAGCTGCAGCCTACAGTGCCTCCACTTCTGATCCAGCTCTCTGCTATGGTCTGGGAAAGCAATAGAAGATGGCCCAAGTCCTTGGGCCCCTGCACCTGTGTGGGAGACCTGGAAGAAGCTCCTGACTCTGGATCGGCCAGCTCCAGCTGTTGCGGCTAACTGGAGAGTGAACCAGCGGATGGAAGACCTCTCGCTCCCTGTGTAACTCTGCCTTTCAAATAAATAAATAAATCTTAAAAAAAAAAAAAAAAAAACCTAAGCCCTCAGACTAAAACTTCCTGAACCTTTTTACACTAATCACCAAATTTATCTGCACCTGTTCTTGACTAGTTGTCTATGGTCACAGCTGAAGAGATCCTGGCCCTTATCTAAAAAAAAAAAAATCCGATTCCTAGAACTTTCTTCTTCAGATCCCAACTCCATCAAATAACACTTTTCAGATCATATATTTAACCGTTAAGACTCTACAAACTCTCTCCTGTTTGCATTTAAATATGCCATTGTCTTTGCTTTCTTAAAAAAAATCATCCTTCTTAGCTCCTGTATGTTTTTGCTAGATATTATCTCTTTCCCTCACAGTCAAGCTTCTTTAAGGGCCTCTCTGAACACCTGGTCTTCATTTCCTGTTTGCCATTATTGTTATCAACCCACTACAAGCTGATCAACAAAGCAATATAAGCCAACATCATGACTCAGTTTCTTTATCTATAAAATGGGGATAATTGTACCCACCTTATAGGACTGGACGGTTATTAAATGTAAAGCCCTTGGAAGAGTCCTTGGCATATACTAAGCACTGTAAATATTAACTCGTATTATAATCATTATTTCTTACACAGCTGCAAGAGAATTGGAAGAGTGCCAGCCTCAGTTTTAGCCAAGTAATGAACAGCTGTTGAAAGTGAGTTTTTAAAACACATTTCAGTAAATAACTTAATAGTTTGTAAACTATTTAGGCATGTCATATGCCCAGAACGTAATCCAAATTTGGTATATGGCAAATATTCTCTCTCACATATTACAAATATATGCTAACATATCTTAATTTTTTATATTAGATATACAAAATATGTATCAATGAATGGACACAACAGTAATAGAATTATTCTCTGTGAAAAGGACTTGGAAAAGCTGAAGGTTTCATATATTTTCAGAATTCTTTTAATTTCGTGTTCCTTTATCTTTTCCAAGGACTAATCACACAATCAGACACGGCTTTCCATCCCAGCTTGGAGAAAAGAGCCTCACTGCTAAGTAAACGTAACTTCAAAAATTAAAACCTGTTAAATACATGGGGAAAAAGTTAAGTATATGCTGTTATTTTCACCCAACAAAAACGAATCGGAGTACAGGACGCTCGGTCTCCAAGGAGACGGAAGACAGCCCGGCGCGCGACGCCGAAGTCTGACGACACGGCTCTAGTGCGCATGCTCCCTCCTCGCCGGCGCCGGCCGGGCGCAGTGCGCACGCGCCGCGGGTCAGCGGGTGTCCTGGTCTGACTGGCTTCGGTCCTCTAGCTGTTGGTCAATGGCGTTGGTGGCGGGAAAGTTGAGTGCCTCGCGCGCTGAGCCTTCGGGGCGATGTGTAGTGACTTCCATCGGTCTGAGTCCGGGACCGAGGTGAGAGCTGTCGGGATGGGAACGTGGGAGAAGAGAACAGGGCCGCTGGGTCGGGGCGGCGCGGCCTGGGCAGCGTCCGCTCTGGGACTGGCCGGACAGGGACGGACCAGGGACAGGGCGCCCGCTAGCCGCACCCTCGCCGCGCCCCACGAGTTGGCTGCTTCGGAGCTGGGAGCCTTCCGGGAGGTCCGAGCAGTGGTGCAGGGTTTACTACGTTCGTTCCCAGATTTGTGTAAAATATGAGGTCCCTATTCTCAAGGATTATGGTCTGAAACCTGTATCCAATTAACATCCGTCAGAGATGGCAAACTATTCAGGAGAAGCTAGGAAAGGGAAGAGGTCACCAGTTGGAGCGTTTACGGAAGCTTTTCCGGCACTGCCGGTATTTGAATGGGTTGCGCCACCGTCTCCGTGTGGTCCACATACCTCTGCCTGTGGCATCCAGCCCTCGATATCCCAGGATACATTTCCAGTATCTCTGGAGCCGCAGCAGCCGGTTGATGCCCTGCAATAATTCATTCAGGGCATTGCCACGCAAGGGGTTAAGTCACAGCCTGTGACACCCGTATCCCTTATGGGCGCCGGTTGGAGACCAGGCTGCTCAACTGCCGAGCCAGCTCCCTGCTAATGCGCCTGGGAAAGCAGCAGAAGATGGCCCAGGCCCTTGGGCCCCTGCACCCTGGTGGGAGACCCAGAAGAAGCTCCGGGCTTCAGCCTGGCCCAGCTCTGGCCAGTGGCAGCCTCTTGGGGAGTTAACCAGTGAATGAAAGATCTATCCCTCTCCCTCTCCCTCTGGAACTCTGCCTGTCAAATAAATAAATAAATCTTTAAAAATAAGAATTGATTCAGGAATGGAACACTTAAGTGTACAGCGCTTATTGTGTATCAATCACTGGTTAAGGAGTAGGAGTAAGAAACAAGACACAGCTGTCACTAAGGAAGGGAGGCTGCTGTGGGAATTGCAGCGCTCCTGACGGTTGGCCTAGGGCTTAAAATGCCAGGTAAGATGACCGACGCATCCTGCTTAGGAGTACCTGACTTCCTTCCATACCCTCCTCCCACTCTTGATCCCAACTTCCTGCTAATGAAATCCCTGGGATGCAGCAGGGGATGGCTCGAGTAATGAGGTTCCTGGCATTTACCTGGGAGACCTGGATTAAGTCCTTGGCTCCTGGCTTCTGTGCGGCCAAGCCTTCTCTGCAGACCTTTGGATACTGAGCCAAGGGTGGGAATTTGCTCTCTGTTTTTGCCTCTTAAATCAATAATTGTAAAGAATTTTTAAAGTTACAAGATATGTAGTAAAAGCATGCTGTCCAACAAAGGAGTGGGTGTAATCAAAGACTAACTGCAGGGGATAACTTGGAGTTTGGGGAGGTTATTTGTTTTGTTTTTCTAAAAAAGTTTTAAAAGATTTAGTTATTCCTTTATTTGAAAGGAAGAGCAAGAGAGAGAAAGCTCTCCCATCTGCTGGTTCACTCCCCAATTGGCTACAAAATCCAGGTGTAGTCTAGGCCAAAGTCAGGAGCTCCATCTAGGTCTCCACATGGGTTCCAGGGGCCCAAGTACTTGGGCCATCTTCTGCTACCTTCCCAGACACGTTAGCGGGGAACTGGATGGGAAGCCAAACAGCCAGGACTGGAATTGGCACTCTGATATAGGATGTTGAAATCACATGCCATGGCTTAAACTCCTGTACAATGCTGGCCCCCTAAAGAAATTATTTTAACTAAAGTAGGACCATTTGCAGTGCTTTTGCAAGGAGAGGAGTAGCAAACAGAGGTTTTGAATTAAGAGCATAGCTATGTAGGGGAACAGCAAATAGTTCTGTACATTGGAACAAAAAGGTAGAACAGTGTTGGCAAGGAAGCCCTGAAAAATAGGTGGAGTAAAAAGGATCTTTTATACAGCGAGGAAGAGGATTGCTTCAGTCAGCTGAAAGTCAGCGAACTTTCTATGAGGACCAGATAGTTAATATTTACTTTTTGCAGGCCATGCAGTTTCTGTCACAACTTTTTTGTTCTCTTCCAGCGTGAAGGCAGTCATAGATAGTAAGCAAATGAGCTTGAGTGTGTTTCACTTTTAAGCTTTTGGATTTGGCTTGTTGGCCATAGGTTGACAACTCCTGCAACTTAACAGAAAAGCCACTTCTTAGTATAAGAACTGCTACAGTTAAAGGCTTACTTACTTTTTTTTTTTTTTAAAGATTTATTTATTTATTTGAAAGTCAGAGTTACACACAGAGAGTGGAGAGGCAGTAGGGAGGGGAAAGAAGGTCTTCCATCCGATGGTTCACTCTCCAATTGGCCACAATGGCCAGAGCTGCGCCGATCCGAAGCCAGGAGCCTCTTCTGGGTCTCCCACGTGGGCGTGGGGGCCCATGGATTTGGGCCATCTTCGACTGCTTTCCCAGGCCATAGCAGAGAGCTGGATGGAAAGTGGAGCAGCTGGGTCTCGAACTGGCACCTATATGGGATGCCGGCGCTTCAGGCCAGGATGTTAACCCACTGCGCCACAGCGCCAGCCCTTACTTACGTTTTTAAAAGTTTATTTATTTGTTTTTATTTATTTAAAAGGCAGAGTGACAGAGATCTTGTATCCACTGGTTTACTTCCCAAATGCTCAAAACAGCTGGAGCTGGGCCAGGCCAAAACCCGGAGCCAGGAGCTCCATCCACATTTCCCATGTACCTGAGCCACTATCTGCTGCCTCTCAAGGTGTGCATCAAAAGGAGGCTGGATCAGAGGCAGAAGTCAGACTAGATCCCATACACTCATGCTGGCCTCCCAAGCCATGGCTTAACCCCCTGGGCTACAATGCCTGTTTCAAACGTTACTTATTTAAATGATAATTTAAAACACAGGTTAAACTCGGATGACTTTTTGTAGTCAGAGCAAGCCTAGCATCCAAAAATGAGGAGTCTAGCACAGTCAAGTCATAGAACAAACAATTGAGCATCATATCCTTGGGATCAGCGCTGTGGCGCAGCAGGTTAACGCCCTGGCCTGAAGCGCCAGCATCCCATACGTGCGCTGGTTCTAGTCCCGGCTGCTCCTCTTCCAGTCCAGCTCTCTGCTATGGCCTGGGAAAGCAGTAGAAGATGGCCCAAGTCCTTAGGCTTCTGCACCTACGTGGGAGACCTGGAAGAAGCTCCTGGCTCCTGGCTTTGGATCAGTGCAGCTATGGCCATTGCGGCCATCTGAGGAGTGAACTGGTGGATGGAAGACCTCTCTCTTTACCTCTCTCTGTAACTGTCTTTCAAATAAATAAAATAAATCTTTTTTTTATTATTATTATATCCTTTGCCTACCATGTTTGTCTGACAATCTTAAGTAGGGTTGCCTAGCTAGTATTATTTGCAGTAGAGTAGGATGAGGGGAAAAGAGTAGGAAGTTAAGCAATTGGTGCTATTCTTTTTTTCTTTTTATTAACAAAACCAACTAAGCAAGTCTGTTCTCTTTTAAGTGTCTTTTTTAACTGTATAGCTGCTGCTTAATTTGTTAGGATGCTGTTTTCTTTCTCTGTTTATTAATTTATGAGCTCTGCTTGGAGGCATTGCATTGAAGATATCTGAAGATATAAACTATTCCAAAAATCTCAAAAGGGTACTTTAAAGTTTTAGTTCACTGGAGTTATAATCTTATAAAGTAGGACGTTAACCTTGTGAGTAGTAGGAGAAAGACAGCTTCATACGAGGTCTTCAAGAAAACAGAATTTTAAGGGCCAACACTGTGACTCAGTGGGTTAAGCCACCACCTGCAGCACCAGCATCCCATATGAGTGCTGGTTCTATTCCTGGATGTGCCATATCCAATCCAGCTCCCTGCTAATGCACCTAGGAAAGCAACAGAAGATGGCCCAAGTACTTGGGTCCCTGTACCCACATGGGAGACCTGGGTGAAGCTCTTGGCTCATGACTTTGGCCTGTCATAGCCCTGGCTGTTTTGGCTGTTTGGGAGTGAACCAGTGGATGGAAGATTGGAAGATTCTCGCTCTCTTCCTTTCCCTCTGTATCTCTGCCTTTCAAATAAATTAATAAATCTTTAAAACAAACAAAATTGCAAATAATATTACCTTTTAACAGATTCTGGAGATGCAGCTCACTATGTGGCAGGGACCCAAGCCCTTGAGTATCATCTGTTGCCTCCCAGGATGCACACTAGCTGGAAGCTGGATCAGAAGCAGAGAAGCTGGGAATCAAACCAGGCATTCCCCTATGGGATGTAGGTGTTCCAAGCAATGACTTAACTGCTGTGTCAAATGCCCACCCCTAATCACAGACTTTTGGAACAGTGTTTATCTCCTTCTGTCTCCCTTTCTTACCCAGAGTAGAATCCATGCTCTATTGTTATAATTATTTTGTTATAAATATCACCAACTTCTTTGCCTCTTTAGCCCTCTAGTCTACTTGTTTAGCCATCAGTAAACTCAACTTTGTATTTTTAGTGTGTCAACACCCACTGAGCTGAATATCGCTAGAGGAAAAATTACAAAGGATGATTGATTTCATTTTGTGTTTAGAATCATCAACCTCAAATAGATCCCCCAGTCCAATTAGATTTCCCTGGTAATTTACTCGTTCACTATAAAATATGTTATAAAATCCAGCCTTACCCCTGAATCCCAGGAACATGTTATATTTTCCTCTTTTATTTATTATTTTTATTTTTAAGGTTTTATTTATTTATTTGAAAGGCAGTTACATTGAGGGAGAGAGAAAAAGAGATTTTCCATCTGCTGGTTCACTCCCCAAATGGCGGCAACAGCCAGGACTGGATCAGGCCAAAGCCAAGAGCTTTACCTGGATCTCCCACCTGGGGTACAGGGGCCCAAGCATTTGGGCCATCTTCCATTGCTTTCCCAGATGCATAAACAGGGAGCTGAATTGGAAGCAGAACAGCTGGGACTCGAACCAGTGCTCATATGGGATGCTGGTGTCTCAGGAAGCAACTTAACCCACTTACTGTGCCACAATGCCGGCCTCTCTACTTTCCTCTTGACAT